ATAGAAACTTTCCTAGTTTTTTATCATTATCTTTCATGAATTTAACACTTTTTCTCTGGGTTTTATGGATATGGGTGTGAGATTTATTTCTGCCACAATTGTTAGGTTTCTTGATGGAGAATCTTAGGACTTACTTACCTTTGTGTGATTTCCTTCTTAGTTGTCATCCTTCAGCTTCCCCCACCTTCCCCTCCTCCCATTAATATTATACCCAGACTTTTATGATTCCAGAAATATTTGTTGAATGAAGGAAAGCATTTATGCAATGCATAGTACAATTACATGCTTATGATACTTGTAGCATAGCACAACAGTAGTTGAAGTGATAAAGACAGATTTTATTCAAGAACTGCTGCAGTAGAGGAGAAGGGACCTCAGTGTAGGACTGGGCTCAGTTCCAAATACATCATGGACAAGTGGGGATTTATAGCCATGGAGCAGGTGGGGGTCCGTGAATGGAAAATTACTATGGGGAAACATCATGGGTGGGTGGGAGGGATTTGGGTTGAGCAAACTTAATAGGATTCTTGCTGAAGGCTGGCCAGGGTGATCAGATATGAAAGATGGAGGATTCTCTGTAAAATAACTTAGCAAGATTCTTGCTAAAACCGGACAATGCAGGCCCTATAAGGATGGATGCAAGACTAAGGCTTCATGGGCTTAGAGGAACCTGACGAAATTTAGTCAAGTTCAGCGCCTTTATCATTATCCACACTGTGTAATTTCTTTTCTTTCTTTCCTTTTTTTTTAAAAAAGATTTTATTTATTTATTTGACACAGAGCTAGAGGGCACAAGTAGGCAGAGCAGCAGGGAGTGGAAGAGGGAGAAGCAATCTCTCCGCTGAGCAGGGAACCCAATGCAGGCTCTAACCCAGAACTCTGGGGTCATGACTTGAGCCTAAGGCAGTTGCTTCACCAACTGACCCACCCAGGCTTCCCACGCTGGGTAATTTCAAATCTTGCCTGACTCTTTGGCATTTATCACAAGGAGATTTTTAACTCTACAGAATGTTGGAGGAGGAAGTGGCCCTTATCATTCAACCCTGCCCCATCCCCTCCCTGTATTAGCATTTCCACAAAGATATGTCTGGGAAAGACGCAAAAACAGCAAAACAAAACAAAAATTTCTGGCTAGTCAGAATTAGTGAGGAAAAAGGAGTAGGAGAAGTAGAAGAAGTGCATGGAACTCTTTGGTTAAATGATTTCTTTCTTTTTTTTTTTTTTTTTTTAAAGATTTTATTTATTTATTTGACAGAAAGAGACCACAAGTAGACAGAGAGGCAGGCAGAGAGAGAGAGAGAGAGGGAAGCAGGCTCCCTGCTGAGCAGAGAGCCCGATGCTGGACTCGATCCCAGGACCCTGAGACCATGACCTGAGCCGAAGGCAGCAGCTTAACCCACTGAGCCACCCAGGCGCCCCAGATGATTTCAAATATAATCTGAGATCACGTGTATGATATGAATCTCAACCCCCTTACCTCTACTCATTCCTTACTTTGGCACTTCTTCTATAGAAGACCCATTTGAGATTTAAGATCACCTTAATGTGGCAAGAGACTCAAGGAGTTTAAGTCAGACCCTGAGAAATATCTTTAAGACGTCAACCCACTGAATATTAGGGTGTCGGCTTGCTGGAGTTTGCCTCTAGGAGCACAAAGCTCAAAGGACCGCAGCAAACAGCAGGGTGGTACTCTTGAGAATAGGGGTGTTGTAAAAACAAATGGATGGAAAGAAAAAAGCTCAGTCCATAAATGTAAAGCACACGGTAAAAAAGCTCAGGGGGTTTTATGAAGACCTACTATTCAGGCTCATCATCCTCCCCTTGTGGCTCCTGCTGGTTTCATAATTTATTCCTTGTTTGTTTTGGAGCCGAAGGGGTGTGTTTGACAGGATGTGTGACCTTCCTCAACGGTTCCACTGGTTTTGTTGTCACCTCAGTGTTCCGGCACTGGGCTCTTATCCTGTTTGTCCTTGCCCTGGGAAACACCGCCCTTTCTTAGACAACTGCTCTCTTTGTTGCCGGTTCAACTGTGTTAAATCAAAGCATTATGGAAATTGAGATTGTAAAGCTAACTAGGCAGCTGCGTAAAGCTATGGGCATCCTACTTGCTGGCCGATAGCAAAATATTTTAGATAAATCAGTTCCGCCATTAACTGAGTTTTGCCACACTGCTAGGATTCTGTGAATATTCTCTCCTCATTCTAGGCAAGGTGTAGAGGGTTTTTTTTTTTTTTTTTGTTTTGTTTTGTTTTTATTTTTAGTTTTTATTTAAATTCCAGCAGTTTCACGTGTGTGTTTAGTGATTTGGCACTTCCGGGCAATTACCGGGTGCTCATCCCGATAAGTGCACTCCTTAATCCCCATCCCCTATTTCCCCCATCCATCCACCCACCTCCTCTCTGGTTGCCATCAGTTTGTTTGTTCTCCATAGTTAAGAGTCTCTTTCTCAGTTAGGCGAGGCCTAGAGTTTTGTCATGTCTCCACCTCCTTGTTCTTTCTGGAGATGGAGCAGTTGTCAGTGTCCAGATGTTATTATCCACGACGACCTGTCCAGCCAAAATTTCTACATAGATGCTGCACAGATCTTCAAGACTCCAATAAGCTATTTTCCAGTACTGATTGTATGTTCCTTTGGCTACACGATTTTTCCCCCCAGCTGTATGGAGGAGAGTGTCTTTAATGATGTGTGATGCAAATTAAAACGTTTTTGAGGGCAGTGATTTTCAAACTCTTCACTGCCAATTATAGTAAAAAAATGAATTTTACATTGTGATCCAGGAGTTGTGTGCTTGCTGTCTAACTGGAGCAAGTCTTACTATGTAACACTCTTGTGAGGTGTGGTGGCGCTCTGTAGTTTCTATTATATTTTTAGCTCCTTAAAAAATGCTGGCTGTGACATAGTAAGTGGATTTCTTGACCCACTAATGAGTCACCATCTGAGTTTGAAAAGAACTGCTTAAAACAGTTTCAAGTTTTAGGAAGTCTTAGGATGCTAATTCTGAGAACACTTTGGAAATTATCTATGGGCACCTTCCCATTTTCATCCTAGTTTAGAGTTGGAGGAACTTTAAGTCCAAGTAGGTTAAGACTTCCTTGTCGGGGAACAGTACCATTTGATGTTTATGCTACTATACCCATTTATTCCTGGAATCATGCTGTGGGCAGTTTGACCACATGGACTCTAATGTTTGAGTCTAGCCATTATGCTCCTGGGCGGCTTCATTGTGACAAAGAAATTTTTCCCACTTTCCTTCCTCCAGTTGAGCTATTTTCTCCTTCCATTAGCTTATTATCCCCCTAGTTGGCCAAGGCCAAAGGGAAGACTGTTAACAGACCATTGAGAGTGGTGTCTCCTCTTCTACAGATGACACACATCTATCCTTGTCATAAATCCAAACCCATTGTCATGGCTTGGACAAGAAATAGCTTTAGGCACATACTTAGGCATTAAAAAAACAAAGAGAGATGTCTAAATGTGAACTTTCTTTAAGCATTTGCAATTTTATTTCGACACCTTCACACATCTTGGTGTATTGGATGTTTTTTCATCTTAGTAATCAGTAGTAAGTGATCTCTTTTTACCAGCATCTTACATTTTTAGTTTCATTGTTTCTGTTGTGAAGGGAATCGCAGAGCTTCATGGTCAAACAGTTAACACCAACTTTTGAGTTCTCAAATGCCATGCATAGAGTGTCAGTCAGCTCTTGCTGCCATAACAGAATATCATCAACTGGATAGCTTAAACGATGGAAATTAGTGTTCTCACGGTTTTGGACGCAGGAAGTCCAAATCGAGGGCTCAGAAGGGTCAATGTCTGTCTGGTAAAGGGTGTGTCTTTGGATTGCAAATGGCTGCCTTCTAGCTGTCTGCCATGGTGGAGAGAAAGGGCAGGCAAGCTCTTTGGTGTCTTTTCTTATAAAACCACTAATCTAGTTGGACTAGGACACCACTCTTATTACTTCATCTAACCCTAATTATTTCCCAAAGGCCCCAACTTTAAGTATCATTATATTAAGAGTTAGGGCTTCAATATATGAATTTTGGGGGAGAATGTAGTCCAGTCTGTAGCACAAAGCCAAGTAAGATCTTAGTGGGGTTTAAATATTGGCTGAAGCATGCAAAGAACTTTTCTGAATTGTACTTATTAAAGATAGACTCTTCTATTTGAGTGAATGGATATTTTTCACAGTCTGTAACTCTTAATGATTATTAACCACTGTAACACATTCAATTTCTTTTATATTCTTATAATGTAAGTATATGGATGATATGTTGTTTATAGTTAAAATATGCCCAAGAATAAAATGATACCTTTAAAAAGTGATTTTCATAAAGATTTTTTTCCTAAAAATTTTATTAATAGTTAATGAATTTCTAAGCAGCCTGGTACTATTTTCAAAACCTTGTATAAGGAGAAAAGCTACCCACTGTCATTGAGAACAATACATATTTTAGCAATTAACCATATGTGCTGAAGACATACTTTAAAACAAATATTTTAAGTTGGAATTATTGTTGCTGTCTAGAAGCATGGACGAATTTCTTAATTAAGAAGCTGTAAGGGAGCCAGGTGTTTGTCTACAAGAAATGTTGCAGAGAGTTACTCTAGTAGCCTACACAAAAGATCCAGTCCAAAGACAAAGAGAGAGGAGAGATTGAGAATATAGAATCTTCTTAAAGCTTTTGATTTGAAAGCTATTGGTCAACTTTTAATGTTTGTAAAGTGCTTGGGAACTCCCAACCCAGTTCTTACCTTTTTGGGAGCCATAGGTAGACTATTGATCAAGAAGGACTTTTTGTTTTTTGGGTTTTTTCTTTTCTTTTTTTTTGTATTTTTTCTTGTTTCTAGGTTATAGAAGTAAGGACTGTTTTAAAATTTTAGGGTATAGAGTTAGTGCTGTGGATCTAAATGAAATATTCTCTGTCTCTTTAAAGTATGTTTGCTGGCATGCTTTTACTATGTTAACACATACATGTTTACTTTGTTTATCCTGTTTCAGTGCCTATCAGCTGAAGAGATCTTTTCCCTTCATGGCTTTTCAAACGCGACTCAGATAAGTAGCTCTAACTTCTCTGTCATCTGTCCAGCAGTCTTACAGCAATTAAACTTTCATCCTTGTGAGGATCGGCCCAAACACAAAACCAAACCAAATATTTCAGAAGGTATGTTGTAAGTTTTTCTCCTGTTTGTTTGAAAAGTCTATAGGCTGGTCTGAAATTGAATTAACTTCTTTCTTTGCTTTATTGCCTTTAATTAATCTACGTGAAGCTCCTTCTTAAAATACTTATATTCTGAAAGTATTTAGAGTAAGAATAATTAGAACTCATTTAAACTTCATGAACTGTGCTCTTCTATTTGTGGAGTCAAAATTATACTTGGTACTGCTTAAAAATTTTGTAAAATGCAATATTTGACTTTATTCTATTATTTATTTACCTATTTATTTATTTACTTATTTATTTTTAGAGAGAGAGAGAGTGTATGGGATGGGGAAGGGACTGGAGGGGAGGGAGAGAGAATCTTAAGCAGGCTCCATGCTCATCCCACAGCCAATGTGGGGCTTGATCTCACAATGCGAGATCATGACCTGAACCAAAGTCAAGAGTCAGACACTGAACTGACTGAGCCACCCACATGCCCCCCCAATTCCTGATTTTAAATAAAACATGCTTTATACTGCTCATGTTGAATTGACATTAACTATTTGGCTCATAATTGATCAATTTCCATTACCTGTGCTTATCATATTATTTAAAAGCTTGTCAATTTATCTATAATTTTCAGTAAAGGGATAGGGAATAGCATGGTTCTAGATTAAATATTAAGGTACTGAGTTATTACTGCTTTAATTTTTGTAAATGAAAGAAAAAGGCAGTGACTATTTTAAGTGCCTCTTACAGTATTGCCATAGATGTATTTCAAAGAATAACCTGCTGCAAAGAAATTTTAAAATATAAGAAAACAAGTGTGTGCTTACTATATGGTTGACACACTTAAACATGTAGAAGAATCCTTTTTTTTTTAAAGAATTCTTTTGCAGGGGCACCTGGGTGGCTCAGTGGGTTAAAGCCTCTGCCTTCGGCTCAGGTCATGATCCCAGGGTCCTGGGATCAAGCCCTGCATCGGGCTCTGTGCTCGGCAGGAAGCCTGCTTCCCTTCCTCTCTCTCTGCCTGCCTTTCTGCCTACTTGTGGTTCTCTGTCTGTCAAATAAATAAATAAAATCTTAAAAAAAAAAGAATTCTTTTGCAAGTGAAATAAATCATTTATTTGCCATCTATGTGCAGTTTCTTGGTATCCTCAAATTGTTAACCTGACCCACATGGGCAATTTAGTTCTCATTTTTTTGTACATTATTCATTCAGTCGGTGCTTATTGAATGACATGCCAAGCACTGTCCTGGGCATTGGGGATTCAATAGTCAACAAGAAAAATTCCCTGCCCTTTTAGGACTTAGCATATAATGGAGAAGAGAAATAATAAGTGTTTATAAAACAACCATAAATAATATAATTTCAGGATGATAACTGCTAAAATAAAGTAGGTAAGGAATAGAAGGAAATAGTGGGCAAATGTGATTTTTGACAGGAGGCCTTTCTGATGAGATTGTTTTCAAGCAGAGTCCTGACTGAGGGGAGGGAGAGGACCAAGGTGAGATCTTCTCTGGGAAAAGAACATTCTCGGTCAAGGGAATGGTCAGCATAAGCTTGGGAATGAGTTTTGTGTCTGTAAGGAACAGCTAGAAAGCGTGTGCGTCTGGAACATGGTAAGCAGGAGGGAGAATAGAAGGAAATGATTGCTGGGGCCTAGTAGGGTACAGTAAGTACCCTTAGTGATGGCCTGTGAAGCCACTGGTCTGAGTGAGCACATCTGACCTGAGTATAAAGGACTGTAGAAGAGAGAAGTGATGGAGAAGAAAAGGGACACCTCAACAAAGGAAGTTCTTAGTCTACTGACTTTTGGATTCCTTTGTGTATATATGAATACTTTGATCTCTCTCTTACAACAATGATGAAAATATTGATAATAGCCAACTTATGTAGGACTTAATACATGGTGGATACTGTTCCAGATACTTGACCTATCTTAACTCATTTTACCGTCATATAGCTCTATGGCGTAGGAACTGCTGTCCCCATTTTACAACCAAGGAAACTTAGGTCCAGAGAGTTCCAAGTCGTTCGCTCAGGAATATACAACTTGTACATGATAAAGTCTGGTTCAAAACCAACTGTCTCAGCTTTAAGATCCACATCCTCTTTTATAGTTTATTTACAAACACGAAGAACGGAAGGCCCCAGACATACTTTATTAATATAGTTGGCAATTTTATGACTAACAATAATTTCACAACTAATTGTTAAAGGAAATATTTTTCTAGATTACATACTAAATAGGAATATGTTTGTATCTCTACAAGTTTGTTTAATATGATTTGCATTTTATATTTAAAAGTAAATTCAGAAAATGTTTTACGTATCAACATTTAATAGTGTATAACCTATGAAAAGCATAGGTTCTGAAGCCAGCCTACCTGGGCCCAAATCCCAGCTATGTTGGGCACATGACTATGTCTTTATACCTCTGTTTCCTTTTCTTTCTTTTTTTTTTTTTACAGTTAAAGTAGTAGATCTGTTTTTTTTTTTTAATTTATTTTCAGCATAACAGTATTCATTGTTTTTTTGCACCACACCCAGTGCTCCATGCAATCCATGCCCTCTCTAATACCCACCACCTGGTTCCCCCAACCTCCCACCCCCCCACCTCTTCAAACCCTTCAGATTGTTTTTCAGAGTCCATAGTCTTTCATTGTTCACCTCCCCTTCCAATTTCCCCCAAATGCCTTCTCCCAATTTTTCTTATTTGAAACAGTATCTTTATCATAAAGTTACTATAATGATTAATAACTTAATATTTGTAAAGTGTGTAGAATATAGTATAGCATGTAGTTAGGCCCTATATATACGTCTGTTAAATAAAATGTATCTACCACGTACATAATTCTGGACGTAGGAGATGAAGCTTCAGAAAAAACAAGTCCTCTACTCTGTGCAGCTTAGTGACTGACATTCAGAAATGTTTTTAACCTTAATTCCAGGTTTCCTTTATCTTAGGAACTGGGAGGGTAGGATCAGAGAACTGGGAAGCAGGAAGTGAGAGCACTCCAGGGTCAACACTGCAAAGTCATAAAATGGAAAATCAATAGTTCTAAGTTACAAGATTAGACAGGCACCAAATATTTGGACAGAGACCCAATAAGGACAGAAATTCCTCTTAGGGTACACATTATCTTAGGAACTGAAATGCGGCTGGGGTGGGTGGGACAGGTTAGGAGAAAAGACAGAAAAATTTCTGGAGAATTAGTAATAATGAGTACTTCACCTGGTGAAGTACTCATTATTACTAATCTAAGATGTTTAATTTGACACTACATTGCCTTTATTTGGTGTACGCTTTTGTTTTATTTTAAAATGTGCGGTTGTGTGTGCAGCTGTGTTGAGCAATTTATTCAATATCTCTGTGCCTCAGTTGTCTCATCTGTCATATGGAGATAATTATAGTACGTTCCTCCTAGAATTGTTGGGGGTATCAAATGAGTTAAATTATGAAAATATCTGGAATAGTGCCTGGCACAGAGAAGGAAGACTATGTTTTCCCTCTTCTTAGACATGTGTTCATAGGTTCACTCCATTTCCTGCTCCCTATGTAAGCCTCTTCTTTTCCTACAAATAAATTATTATTTTTTTTTTTAAAGATTTTATTTATTTGACAGAGAGAGATCACAAGTAGACAGAGAGGCAGGCAGAGAGAGAGGGAGGGAAGCAGACTCCCCGCCGAGCAGAGAGCCCGATGCGGGACTCGATCCCAGGACCCTGAGATCATGACCTGAGCCGAAGGCAGCGGCTTAACCCACTGAGCCACCCAGGCGCCCCCAAATAAATTATTTTTTAAGTAAGGAAAGGCACTGGATTCTTGAGGTAACTGTTCACTTAATATAGAGCCAATCCTGAGTTCATTCAAAGACAAGAAAAACCAAAGTAAAACTAATTCAAAGGAGTCATGATATAAAGATTTTATAAACATGGTATGTGGTCTAATTACCTTTAACCAAAGAGCCATGGGAAGCCTGAGGAGTGAGGGACAGCTGCCTGGAGGAGCTGGGAAAGCCCTAGAGAAGATGTCTTGGAGTCGACTTAGAGAAACACCTGTGAGTTTCTCAGGCAAGGAAGATAGAAAGATGTTTTCAGATAAAGAATCACAAGAAAGGTAATTCTGTACTTGGAAAGCATTGTTAGCTTATGTTAGCATAAAGGCCATGTTGAGAGGTGTATAAATAACACTGGAAAAGTTGTGTGGGAGTCTGTTTATGAACAGCAGTCTCGAACAGGGACATGAGATGATCCAAGTTGTGTTTCAGGATAGTGAGTCTGGTTGGTGGCCATGTCATGTAGGGAGAGAAGACTGTCTTAATGCTTCAGAAGAGGGAGTGAGCGCTGATGAGGACCTGAGCTCAAGGCATTGGCAAGGAGGACGGAGAAGCCGGAGTGAGATGTGTCTCAAGCAAAACTGATAGGATTTGGTCGTCAGTCATCTATGCGATTGACTGGTGTGGGTGAGATACTGAAATTGATTGTAACGTCTCTGCTCTCTGCGGAGGTCCCAGATTTCTAAGGGGAAGGCGATGTGTTTCATACGTGTATGCGATTTTGATTCAGTCTGGTACTGAGAAGCTTCTTTGTGTTTTTATTTCAGTTTCAGCATTACATATCCTGTCTACTTAATGAGATTATAAATATTTGTTGAATGAATGAGTGCATGTAGGCTAGTGAAGGGACAGAAGGCTATTCATGTTAAAGGAAGCTACACATCGCTATACCATGGAGGGAGAGGTGGGATTGCGAGTTTTCTTGAAGGGGAGAGTGTAGGGGAGTAGATAGTATTGTTTTAGGTGATAAGGTAGTAAACGGGAATGAGGGGGACCTGCCTAGTTCCAATGAGATGACTTTGCAGGGCCTGGTCAGCGGTCTGGAACTGATAGGAAAGCATCTGGGGAAGATAAAGTCATGGTCAGTGCTGTGATGATTGTCGTGGAAACAGGAATGTTTACTCTCTGTTCATTTTATTTGATATGCAGCATAGACAACCTGTATTGCTTTGTGTGCATATGTGCCTACACTTTTCCCAGTTCTCCAAGCAGAAGATCTAGGCTCCTCGTTGGCAGGAACCATGGTTACGTCTATCTGTGTGGCTCCATAAGCATTTGCTAAGGTTGTTTATTTGTAGATAGAGTCCCTTGAACTAAAATAATGGTGAGCAACCTTATAGTCATGAAGCACAATATAAAATATCTGCAGTTTCGCTGAGTCCCTTGGTTTTTTTAAAAACTAGAATATCTCTATGGGAGTAATGAAGCATATTGCTCATGTATGTCAGCCCTAGAGCCAGACTGCCTGGGTTCAAAATCCAGCTTTCTGTCTGCATGGCTTGGGCATCTCACTGGAGCTCCGTATGCTTTGGTTTCCTCAACTGTATGGGGAAGGAGATAATAGTCCTTACCTCACAGAGTTTTGTGAGGGTCAAATTCATGAATACATGTCAGTTTCCTTTCTTTCTTTCTTTCTTTCTTTCTTTCTTTCTTTCTTTCTTTCTTTCCTTCCTTCTTTCTCTCTTTCAAGATTTTATTTGACAGAGTGAGAATGAGAGAGAGCACAAGCAGGGGGAGCAGCAGGCAGAGGGAGAGAGAGAAGCCGACTCCCCGCTGAGCAGGGAACCCAAGGCAGGGCTCCATCCCAGGACCCCGGGATCATGACAAGAGCAGAAGGCCTAACCGACGGAGCCACCCAGGTGTCCCTACATGTCAGTTTCTCAGCATGTATCTGGCAGTGGCAAATACTCATCAGCATTAGGTGTTGCTACAGTACTCCACCAAGAGTGTCGTAAGGAAAGGGGCCTAACATTTAAAAATGTTTTCTGGGCATTTTAAAGAAGCGAGAGGGCAGAGGTAGCTTCCTCATCTTTCACGCTGTCCTTCATGCACAGCGGGTGGGGCATAGGTAAAGCCACGTTGCGCGGTTCCAGGGCCTGCACTGCCGACCGCAGATGTCCTGGGTATGCTTCGCTTGCACTCCCATTGTGTCCTTTAAACCAACCCCCACCTCCAGGATAATTGGGGAAACGGAGGTCACACACGCCAGAGCTTAGGATAGATGTAGAGCTTAGGATACCATTCATTCATTTCATTGTAAGCAATATTAAGCACCTATTGGGTATACCAGACCTTACAGGACAGAGAGTCAAAAGACTTGTCACCCCCTTCTGTCATCAGAGTCCTCATTGCACAGGATATTTTCGCCCTGATCTGGGAGAGTTGGTCAACACAAGCTACTCCCTGGTTCCCACATGCTCCCCTCCTGAGTGCTCACCGCGTGGGGCTGAGTCCAAGTCCTGGGGGCCGAGGTGCTGCCTTCCCAAGGAAGTGCACTCCACAGGATCCTGCAGACCAGTGATTATGACAAGTGCAGTGTCCGCAACTCTGGTCACCTTGAAGCTAACTCCTACCCACCCATCTCCACCCCTACCCTCCATCCATCACTTTGTACTTTTCCCCTGAAACTCACACCGCCTCTATATTCCTCTGAAAGACTGAGTTTTAAACGAGGCTTTGAGCTACAGATGAAAGTAGGTGACTTGGAGCCTCTGGGGTTTAGGTGGTTTGTCACCATTCCAGATGTCTTCCACATTTCCTGCAAGCTAGAAAATTCTTTGAGCCTTTGAGTGGTTTAGGGCTGATGACAGTATAAGCAGTATTACTATTAATATTTATTATTCTGCATTTATGTTTACAGTTTTCTGCATAAATTTTGTTGAGAAGATCTTGTTATTTTAAAGAAGATCTGTTTCAAGCTTTTAAAGAAAAAGTTGTTTCAGGCTTCTTGTACAGTAAGACTTCATTTGGCTTCATTGCTCTGATTAATTTCTGCTCTTTACTTCTGATCTACAGTTTGGGGATATGGATTCCTGTCAGTGACAATTATTAATCTGGCATCTCTCCTCGGATTGATTTTGACTCCACTGCTAAAGAAATCTTACTTCCCTAAGGTTTTGACCTTTTTCGTGGGTCTGGCTATTGGGACTCTATTTTCAAATGCCATTTTCCAGCTTATTCCAGAGGTAAGGATCTTGGCTGTTTGTTTCTGTGAATAATTGTTCCTTTTAGATGTTTTAGCACTTTGTACATTTTAAGGCTCCATAATTCTCACAGCATTTTATGGTCTGGTTGATAGTGTTGAAGAAGAGAGAGCTGAATCACAGCAGATGAAAAAGCTTGTCTCAAGCTACAGGGGATATCGGTGTCAGAGATAAAATTAATATTCTAGGAGGCCAGCCACCAGGACGTGCCCAGACAGCTCTGGGACACCTCTGAGGGCCTGAAACTTTATTTTGTCTTGCATTTGGCAACCTTAATTTTTCTACATACTTTTATTATTTATTTATTTTTTGAAGAGCCTGCAATGTCAGATTTATTGAAGAGATACCACAAAGTGTCCTCAGACATTCATTGTAGCTTTTATTTAAGTTTGTGTGTCTTGTCTGGTAGGAAAACCTGGGCTCTTCATAATTTCAAACCTAGCTCTTGCCCCGTGTCCTTTAAACGGTAGATTATTTCATTCTCATGGGTATGTGTGGGTGTGAAAGAAATCTTTTCTTCATTTTTGGGCCCAGCCCTTGAGTTCTTTATCTCTTTAGGGCCAACCAGGATCCTCTGGGTTTAAAAGGATCTCTCTTGGCAAAACAGTAATCCAAATGGCTTGTCATATTTGCTTTAAAAATTTGAATCTGGATATAATGGACAAGTATATTACTTTAAGAGAAAATGGATTATCAGTGTCTCATTTTTCTTTATTACTCATATCTAATATTATCTATAAAGGTGGGAATCGGTGCTTCTCCTTTATTATGAAAAGCTTTCTCTTTCAAGGTAAATATTGCTGAAGGTAGGAAACTATCTTATAGTCGGGAAACTATAAGATACTCTGGGGGTTTGAGTAATAGAACTTCTTCTGGTTATAAGACTCCTGTATGATCTCTTACAGTTTGGTTACTTAAGTTTCAGAGGTTTTTTTTTGTGATTTTGGTGGTTAAATTCCCTATATTACCTGATCTGAACATGGGCTTAGAACTTTGATGAAAATTGTATACTGAAAGTTGTATTGTTTTCCAGAAATCAGGTTAAATTACTTGTTTTACCTGATTTTTTTTTTTTTTTCCTCTCTCAGGCATTTGGATTCAATCCCAAAAGTGACAACTATGTTGAGAAGGCAGTTGCTGTGTTTGGTGGATTTTACTTGCTTTTCTTTTTTGAAAGAGTGCTTAAGATGTTATTAAAGACATATGGTCAGGTAAATAGACTTTATTGAAAATGTTTGTTGACCCCTTAAAGTTACTTTATATAGCTTTATAGGCAAATAAGGCAAGAATTTTATTCTTTTTTTTTTTTTTTTTTTTTTTTTTGAGAAAGAGAGAAGGCATGAGCAGAGGGGAGAGGCAGAAAGAGAGAGAGAGAGAGAGAGAGAATCTCAAGCAGGCTCCATGCCCAGTGCAGAGCCTGCCACAGGGCTCTATCTCACAACCCTGAGATCATAGCTTGACCTGAAATCAAGAGTCAGATGCTTAACTGACTGAGCCACCCTGGTGCCTCGAAAATTTTATTCTTATAATTACGTGAACAGCTCAGTTATTAGACTTGTGAATGTGAGGAGAAAGAAAAGAGTCAGTATATTCATAAATATAAGAGAAACGATTCACAGTGTAGAATTTGGAATAAGTACCAATAATAATGTCAAGAAAAATGTGCACAATCTGTGTTCATTTGTGTTCATCAAAATAAGAAGGCATATATACCCTAACATGAGAAAACATAACATAATAAATGAAGATACATTTGTAAGTCTAAAAAGATTATATATTGAATAGATGTGTGAATTTTCTCTTACAAATAAAAAGCACTAAACTCTCTACTTTGTGTGAGCCATCATTTTTTATTCTTATAACCTCCTCTTGCTTTTTAAATTTTTTTATGTAGAATCACACTCACTTTAGAAATGATGACTTTGGTCCTTCTCATGAGAAAACTCATCAACCTAAAACATTACCTGCCATCAATGGTGTGACGTGTTATGCAAATCCAGCTGTCACAGAGCCTAATGGACATATCCATTTTGATAACGTCAGCGTGGTATCTCTACAGGTATGGTGATTCCATTTTTTTCTTTGCTATATTGCATCCTTTATAAAATCTGAAGACTTCTGTGAATGTAGCCAAATCAGTATTTTACACACTTAAATGTGTCTGACTTATTTTTGTGTATGAGGGATCTGTGGAATGTTAGTCTGTAATTCTTTTTCTAATTTTCCTCCATATATTTACCCTGAACAAGTGAGTTAAGTAAGAAATGGAGGGTTACTGGATCTGAGACTTTATTATTCTCTAAGATTATTTAAGTATATGTATGAGTTACTTAGATTTATACAGTGATATGTAGCAAACTTAATCAGAGCATTTCTCTTATTTTGCAATTCTTTCAAGATCCCAAACCAAAGAATCCCTTTGAGTAATTTTGAAACTGCAAGAAAAAAAAAGATTTATAACCTATTAAAATTGTGTTCATTAATTAATTGATTTAGAATTTGTACCTCCATCTTCTAAATAATGTTAATAGGTATCATTTCTTTCTTTTTTCTTTTTTTTTTTTAAGATTTTATTTGTTTATTTGACAGAGATCACAAGTAGGCAGAGAGGCAGGCAGAGAGAGAGGAAGGGAAGCAGGCTCTTCGCTGAGCAGAGAGCCCGATGTGGGGCTGGATCCCAAGACCCTGGGAACAAGACCTGAGCCGAAGGCAGAGGCTTTAACCCACTGAGCTACCCAGGTGCCCCAATAGGTATCATTTCTTGAGTGAATATTATATGCCAGGTAGTATGGAAGGCACTTAATTGTTTTATTTCTTTTACTTTTAATTTTTTTAAAAAAGATTTTATTTATTTATTTGACATAGAGAGAGAGAGAGAGAGAGCATGTACAAGTGGGGGAGAGCAGCAGAGGGAGAAGCACCTCCCCACTGAGCAAGGAGCCTCGACTCGGGGCTTGATCCCCGGACCTTGGGATCATGACCTGAGCCCAAGGCAGACACTTAACCTACTGAGGCACCCGGGTGCCCCTCTTGTTTATTTTTTATAACAGTTATTCAAAATAGTTTATTTTCAGGGGCGCCTGGGTGGCTCAGTGGGTTAAAGCCTCTGCCTTTGGCTCAGGTCATGATCTCAGGGTCCTGGGATCCAGCCCCGCATCGGGATTTCTGCTCGGCAGGGAGCCTGCTTCCTCCTCTCTCTCTCTGCCTGCCTCTCTGCCTCCTTGTGATCTCTCTCTCTCTGTCAAATAAATAAATAAAATCTTTAAAAAAAATAGTTTATTTTCTACATATTAGAACTATTTTGGTTTCAAGTGCTGGATATCAAACCCAAATTATGTATGCAGAAAGGAGACTTTATTGGAAAGATAGTAGGATGTCTCATGGAACAGCCAGGCATAGGAATAGCAAGAACTTAGGAACCATTAGAACCATTAGAACTCCTTGTCTTCCTCTTCCCTATAGCTTACAGTAATTCTTCTTTCGGTGTGCACTGGCTCCTTCCATATGTGGGAAATAGCCACTAGCAACCCCGAGGTTTACGTCTTGCAGTTTCAGTCACTAGAAGGAAACTGACCAGACTCTTTCAGTCCCAAGTCCAGAATTCCTGGCAAGTGTCTCCTTGGTCGGGCTTGAATTAGAAGTCCATTTCTAGACTAATCTAGAGGGTTGTGCCCTTGTACGGGTGCAAGGGCATATGGATGGAGTAGAGGAGCAGATATGGAAAAGGGTGCTATGTGACAGTATCATTGGTGCTCACAACAATTCTCATTTGACAGACCAGGGAAGTGGAAGTTCAGATGTTAAAAAAGTTCCGAGGGTCCTCAGTTGGTAAACAGTAGAGCCGTAAGATATAAAGTTAAACACAACATAAAAAAGAAATACTGAAAACAAAATCAAGGAAAGCCAGCTAAGAAAAAATAAAAAGTAGAAAAAAAGGTATCTGGAAGAGGTTATTATGGCAAATGACCTGAGTTTCCTTCTGGAAAGAAAACATCATCAGTCATATATTTTGCCCCACCTGATTAAGGAAAATCTCGTGTGTTTGAAGAGGCATTTTTGTATTAGCACTGAGCTAAGAGAGGAAATTATTTCATGCAATGTAATGAATGATACTTTCAGCCAAGATTTTGCAAAGTGAAAATGTTCAAATAGATAATTTCTTACAATAATTATAGATAACATTTATTAATGCTCAGGGACTCTGCCTGGAATTTTAAATGAATGATCTGCTTGGACCCTCATCATAGCCTAGGAGATAAGTACTGTCATAATTCGGAGATTGTAGCTTAGAGGTTAAATAACAAACCCAGGGACAAGTAGCTCCTACATGGCAAAGCTTGGATCAGGACCAAGGTCATCTGATACTGAAGCCTACATGCTTGCATACCTTGCTGGATTGTCTTCTTTAGGTCATTGCTCTACTGGAATCAAGATGATGACATTAACTCTTAACCTAATAACTATGAATTTTTTGTAAGGAAAGGAGATAATTTGGCCTGAGGCTTTTGCTTTCTGAAGACAAATTGAACTGCTCAAAAGTTCGATTTTAGTTTTAAAGTTTTTGGGCTCCTCCTGATTTATAATTTACTATTGCCAGAAGACATGTTTGTAGTAAATATAAACACCATGACAAGAATGGGATCCTACACATGATCCTGTTTCACGTAATTTAGAAATATCAATTGAAAAGTTATTCTTACTCTACTTCTGGAAGTAAAGCTAGTACACAGTCTTTTATTCATTTATCCAATAACCATTTATTGAGTACCTGCTCACTGACCTAGGCTCTGGGGATTCAGAAGCACATGAATTCTTGTAAAACTTACAGTTTATTTAATGGACAATATAGAAAAGGGTAAAACTAGAAAATACCATATAACAATATGTACTTTGATGTAAATAAAATAAGGTGATGTGGGGGGTCCCTGGGTGGCTTGTTTGTTAAGTGTCTGCCTTTGGCTTGGGTCACAGTCCTGGGGTCTTGGGATTGAGCCCCATATTGGGCTCCCTGCTCAATAGGAGGTCTGCTTCTCTTTCTCTCCCTCTGCCTCTCCCTCTACTCAGGCTCACACTCTCTCTGTCTTTCTCTCTCTCTGAAATAAATAAATGGAATCTTTTAAAAAAAATGGTGATGTGGGAGTGATATGTGGGAGCTTCCTTGATCAAGAAAGATCCCTACAGAGATCAGCAGAGAATTAGATAATGAGGAAGAAGAGCCAGCGATGCAGCTATCTCAGAAAAGAATGTTCTAAAATCTTCGAGACTAACCAAATGGGCTATATACATACAAGGACGCTAGAAGCTAAATGGCTTCGGACTTCCTGACATCAACGCTGGAGACGAATGGCACAATTCTGTCAATATTGAATAGAAATGACTGTGGAGGGTGACAGGGTGGCTCAGTCAGTTAAGCATCCGACTTTTGATTTCCGCTCAGGTCATGATCTTAGGGCCCTGAGATGGATCCCTATGTTAGGCTCTGTGCTCAGCGTGGAGTCTGCTTAAGATTCTCCCTTTCCCTCTGTCTGTCCCCACCCTGCTTGTGATCTCTGTCCCTCTAAATAAATCAGTCAATAAATAAAATCCTAAAAAAAAAAGAATCAACTGTGAAATTATAAACAGTAGTAAGCTATAAATCTAGTGAGAGAGTGTAATGAAGCTAGGATTCTGGAAATACACTTCTAGGAATGGGAAGTCCAACTGAAGGCAGAGAAGTTGTGTTCCAGGATGACAACCATGCACCAGGCCTTCAAATGAACCGTACAAATAGCCCTGACACTAATTTCTTAAGGGGTCTACTCTGGCTCTTTTGGTTGAAGGCATAGTCTTAAATGAAGAGAGGCTTAAACTGAGTAATGTACCATTATTTTCAGTCTTCTCTTTATATCGCATTAAAAAAAATTGAAAGAAGTAGAATTTAAGAAATGCCGTAAAGTTTTAGATATTGCATTAATAGACAGTAGATAGTGTAATATAAATGACAGTGATTTCAATAATAAAATTAAGATACTCTCTAATATTTTATATAATAAAAATAATTAACCTAGATGCTCCATTGTGAGACTTGAACAGGATATGGAAGATTCATGGTTCATGTCTAAGTTCAAGTATTGCCTTAAGAATTTTGTTGATGATTCTTGTTGCTCCTGCTTCAACACAGTCAAGTTTTTTCAAATTGAAAATAATAAGAAACTAAGAGCAAGTTAAGAAAAGTAGTCTAATTTGACATTCTATTAATAGAATGCATATTATCTGACAGTCTAGATGACAATAGCACGATTTTTGATTTTACTGGAATATAGGAAGAACAAAAGAATTACAGAATAATTAAAATCCATGACTTAGGGATATCTGTACTGGTATTTATTCCAAACAATTTTGGTCCATCATTGAATACTCAGATATGCAATAATACTTAACTTTAGTTGCCTTTGGTATTTTGTTTGTGTTCAGTCATATAAAAACCATAGCTTTACGCATTTTAAAAAAATGTATTGCCATGGAAGGGTATCTATGACCTTTTAAGAGGATCGGAGAGAATTTATTCAACAGTTTTTTAGTTTGATTATAACTTTTACATACTTAGACAAATTAGTGAGACTTCCTTAATAGCCTTGTTCCAGACCCTGTAGATGCACAATCCATGGGACTCGTAGGAGTGTGTGTGTGGGGAGAGGGGGAGAGATGTGCACGCGTGCACGTGTGTGTGCACACGCGCATGCGCACAGGCCCACAGGTGCCTGTATGCCGGAACATGCGTATTTCCAGGACAACCTGGGAGTCACAGGGGAATAAAAGAAAGCTGTTATGAGGGAAGAAGGGGAGCACAGTTACTCAGTTACTGCCAGAAGGTCATGTTTCACAGCTCAGCTTGTGACACTTGCTTTGTTCTTCTCCCTCTCTGACGATTGTACAACCCTGTAGAGGAGTCATTTCAGTATCTATGCAACCAAATGGGTCTTGTCGGCGTGAATCTACAGCTTTAGAAGGACTGGATTTTTATTAGGTGTTGATTGCTTAGGCAGAGGTGGTACTCTGGAGAATGGTAGTTTTCTAGGC